TTTATTACTTAACGATAATTTACATATTTAATATACATTGAGTTATTTATATTATTATAATATAAGTGGCGCAAATTACTATTTTAATAAGGTGGAAAAAAGCACAAATTACAATTTTAGTAGGTACTCTRGGGCACAGATTACACAATTCCTTTTTATTTAATTTTATTTGGCGCAAATTACATACGCTCATTTTATGTACACCATGTGCGTGCTATTTTATTTGATGAAAACTCGTAAATGATTTATTCAACGAGCTTTTATTTTTTTTTCGATCTTGGTGTAGTAAAATGACTTCAAGCTTTAATTTGCGTTCCAGATTGTATATTGGATTTCAATATAATCAATATATCCTATATTTTTGATATTGCGTCTAATAAATTTTAAATTTAAAAATATTATGCACAGGAACTATATATACTAGGTATAACAACAGAATCTCGAGAAGCGTAATAACAATAACATCGCGCAGTTATTATGTAGGCTGTTTTGAAAAATAAGCTGCCATAATGTCCAATAATTATTGTGGAATAAAATTATATAATTTTTATGTTTTTATTTGTTTGTACATTTTTTTTTTCGACGGGAGCCTATTGACAATTTACCTGTTCGTAAAACCTTTTTTGATGGGAGCCATTTGGAAATAAGCAAACAATAGACGGGAGCCGTTTGGGATCTGACGACGCAGCCATACCAAATACTATAGCTGCCATGCACAGATTGAAAATAGTGAATAATGATTACGAAACTGGCTTACCTCTCGGTGATTCCGGTTGAAATCGTTTGTCGTCCTCTGTACCACGACACTTTGGATCCGTTGTTGCTACCGGCGTGCACAACTTTGCACACGATCTCCAGAGTGCTACCGGTCTTGTAGAAAACGTCGCTACCGCCTCCGGTAACATCGCCGGTACCGGTTACTGACATGCGTACCGTAGGCACTGCGGACACACAAAATTTAAAATAATATATGAAATACAGCTGCTGCTGATAAAGGGGTAGTAATATTGTCRTAGGTTGTGGGACAGACAAATTATAGGTGACAGGTGATGGGAACACATGACCGATATCAGTAGTTTTTTGTAGTTGTTTTAATCACGTAAGTATGCGTAACTTTTGCACGTACTTCACCATGGTGTCAATAAGCCACTAAAAGTAATCCGAAGTAAACTCTATATAGTGAGACCCTGGTTTAACTTGAAAATCGTGTTTGACGAAACGCTTTAAGTCCGCACAGCATATGTTAACCGAAAAGGGTAGGTATATACCGAGTGGACGTTATGCATATGTATATATCATATAGGTATATGTATAGAGAATAAGCTTTTATTGGATCTCGGTGGAGGCGGCGGCGACCGTTTCCAAACGACTGGTTTGGGAATATCATAGGAGGTCACTCGTTTCTCGCACAAACGAGACCCTAGGGGAAACGAAAGGACCGAATTTAATACGCGCCTCTAGAATTATGTGTATATATATTATATACATATATACATATATATATATATATTGTTTCAATTGGAGGCAACATAACCTTTTGTCATAACCTTGAAATATGTAACCATCGTTGTAACTATACCGAACATAAAGAAATACGTTTTAATTAAAAACAAAAAAATACAAAACAAATCATATGTCTCTATGAGGTTAGGTTAGGGTTAGCTGGTGAACAAAGTACTGTATACAATGTATAGGTGCATTATGATATTTTATGGAATATAACACTTGCATCGCTGTTTGTTTTTTAAATTCTCAATTGTTTATGAATGGATTAAATATTTCTGACCCAAAAATATTAATATTATGTTTAAACAAATTATTTCCGGTTTTAGAAACTTTTTCTCATAAACTTGAAAATACGAAATGATATATTTTAAAATGTATATTTATGTATTTTTTCTTAATTATTTTACACTTCCGAGTAAATATGTACAGTAAATATTGCTTGATAATTTAATGTTTTTTCCTTTTAAACAAGTCAATCTGTACAGTATTTTAAAAATTGATATTTGATTAAACGTAAAAAAAAATGGTATATATTATAGTTGCCTCCAAAAATATATACGAATTTAATTATCATTATTGTCATATACAAAATGGTTGAATATCTACAATATCTGTAACCCATGAACAGGTAGTTCATAATATTATGATATAATAAGTTTCTTCCAAAAATCTTCATACTAGTTGCTTCCGATATTGAGTTAAGTAGAGGATCATATAGTTCACTAGTATATAAGTATAATGTCACGTAAATAGATAAATGTATGTATAATTACATTTGTTATAGTTATAAAAAAATAAGTCTAAGGAAACATATACATATATAAATATAAAAATGTTCATATAAGATTACTTAATAATGATAATTTTATAGGCGCCTGTATAGATTTTTTTTTTGATTTTATTAAAGCTAATATCTTRGTTTTATCTTTTTATAGGGTAAACCAAGAAAGAATTTCATACTAAAATATTTATAATGTAATTGTAAAAAATTTTTTTATAGATATTTAGAAGTATATATAATATCTAGCACGACAAAAAAAATCAGCCTTAATTTTTAGTTATGTATTATAATATAAATGTAAATAAAATACACAACAATTAAAAAAAATATTTATATAATTATTCAATAAAAAAATGTAGTTCATTGTTATTATTAAAATTAGAGAAGAATGTTATTTGATATATATTTATGAGTTAATATTTATTTATAGATTGGGTGTATTCGAAATTCGACATTTTATTAGAATGAATGTTAAGTTACTTTTACAAAAGTTATGGCTAGAAAAAAATATGTTGAAATAAAAAAATCTACTTATGTGCCATGAAACAAATCTATTAATGGAGGTTAAAATAATTTATTCCATTATTCTTTATTGAAACAGGAAAAAAAATTAAACATATCAGTCGATGGCATTAAAAGATTAAATATTATCACGTTGAAATATTTTCTAAGACCTATTTGACTTATCTACAAGATTTTAATTTTTAAAAAGCTATTTAATTTTTCATAGTTTATACTGAGTTTTATGAATAATTCGTATTATGTTAAGYAGGCAACTAACAGTATATTATAAATATATTTRAAGTTTTCAAAATTTAACGAAAGGTAAAAATAATAATAATACTCTTCATCAGTTTAACTCACCATCCACACCTTTACATTAAAATTTAAACGGTAGCAGCTCGTGAATCATTCTTTTAATAATACAATTTGATATTCAAAAAGTTTTATATAAAAATATACAATGGTAATTTTTTTTACCAATAAATAGAATAATTAATTTCTAACAAACCAGATCTTTTCTGTTACTGTATTTTAATATTTAAGTTTTTTTTTTTTTTTATTAAAATTTTAAAGGAAAATCTATTACCTATGTTGGTATAATTTATAAATAATTTCACGTTGGATATAAAATATTATACCCACTACATTTAATATAAAGTACTTGACTTTTTTTTTCGCACCATTTTATTATACGAATGTAAACAGAAAATTAAATATTAATAAAATATTAATCACGTTGTTGTTTTTAATAATGAAAAGAATATTATCGTGTAATAGTATGCATTTTTAATTGATTTTACTTGTATGTGTGAAAAGTGGTTTTAATTTTTTTTTTTTTAAATAGTGTTTATCATTAAGTTTATAAAGTTTATATTTGTAAAATAAACGACACTAAAACACAGTACCATATTTGATAGACTTAAAGGAGAATGAAATCATGAAGTTTGGTATAATAATGCAATTTAGTCAATCAGAGAGTAAAGGCTAAAGTATATACGAGGAGCGGTGCAATATGAATAATTCATCAATGAACGTTTTGAACAAAATTATATAAGTTAAATAATACTTGATAAGAAACATTTCGTGCAATTTATTTACAGTCAGTTGATTTCTTTCTTTTATCAAGAAAAGTAATATATATATTATTTCAGAAGAACTYATTTATTTATAAGCATAAATAGRCATATAAAAATCGTTGATTTTCTTGTGTGTAGATATTATTAGTTTTGATTTTTTTTAATTACTTGCTGGTATTAAACGTTGACGAAACAAACAAAAACTCTACACTTTTATAATTATTAATGCATATACATAGAATTATATGTTACTTAAATCACAATATGCGAAACGAGTTTCAATTAACTTTTCTAAAGTGTGAATTACGATATTGTATAGCATAATTCATTTTTAATACAATAAATCATGCGAATATTATTTATTACAATTGGTGTATAAAGAACAGGATAGACATGTATTGTGAGGCAATTAAAAYTAAAATTATGTTGAAAGAAACTATCAGCAGTATAATATTATATTGTTGAAATACTTAAAACCCTTACAAGAACCTGACGCGAATTGTACGAATACGAACGAACGGATTACTCGGGTTGTAAGTAAACAATTTTACGAGTATAAATTAACTCATAACACAAAATACTCATAATATACAATTGCTATCTGATATTAAAATATTATCTTATTTAATATTTTAATTTGGCTTGTACCTAGTTTATGGAGAGAATCTGTTTGTATGGACCAGTGATCCTCAACCTTTATAAGTGACGATCTTCCAACAAAAACAACAAATAAAAATATTTCTCTTGTTTACACGYTGAGGTTTTATGAGTTTAGTTTAGTGTTAGCGAGTGGTGATCTTCAATAATTAGTTGACGAAATCTGAGGGGAATCGCGATTCTTCAGGAGGATTATATTAAACGTATGTCCACTCTTACAAGTTACAATAATTCCATAGTAAAATAATTGATGAGTATAAAATAATAATAATAATAATAAATAATTTTATAATAACAAAAATAATATCATAGTAAAATAATTGACAAGTATAAAATACCAATTCTTACAGTTGCAGATACAATTTTTATAGTATAAAAAGCTTGCATAGGGTTTTCATATAGGTAGTTATAAATCATTGTGAACGATTCACAGTCACTACGCCACGTATTTACAGAACGAGTAAAACAGGGTAAACACAACAAGATAAAATAAAACGTCGGAATGACAATGGTAGGTAAAGCTAGTAATAATAATAATAATAACAATTATGAATGTTCAATTGTGTAAGTCAGAGAAACAATGAACATATTGTGATGGGAATCGGATTGTCCGGCTCGCTGCGCCTATTACTTTTGCATTCATTAGCGTCGAAAATAAACGTCCTCAGAAYWWGAGACATCACGATAGCGTGATCGGTATAGCTGGGCACTGGATATTGTATAATTTTGTACAATTTTGACTTCATTGATGCTCAAACCGGAGCAGTCACAATGCGAGCATGTTATTTTGATTTAGTTAGGTAGTTTACAAAGTATAAAATATTTATAAAAATGAACGGAAATTCGTCATTATATTATTATAAAGACACAAATAAGTAATGCCACATATACGATACATCACTATCAGCGTTGGTGACTATTTTTTAGTTCGCTAATTTCTACAGAGGGTACATTCAAGATTTCAACCATACGTGTACAGAGTATTGCGTGTTCAAGAAAAGGAAAACAATTGGTAAATATTGATGTAATAAATATACATTTTGTGGTTGCCACAAGATTTCGCACCCCTTGTGAAAAAAAGGTCTATACAATTTTTTTTAAAAATATTTTTTCGGTAAGAAGTACAAAAAAATTACATTTTTATTAAAGCACCTTTACATAAACAGTTAGGTATAATTGTTATTCTCTATTGCTGTTATTTTAATGATCTCGATGTGTACACATGTAATTAATAATAACAATAATAATAATTATTAATATTATATAAGAGCCGCAGAGCGTTATTTAATGCATACTGTGTGCGATTATAATATAATAAAATAAAATAAATTATTATTAATGGGGTCCTATTATACAAAACGATTGGGCGGAGCAGGTGTTAGGTGGTATATATTCTGGTGAACCGGTATGGA